CCCCCTCTCTCTCTCTCTCTCGCCCCTCGGTGGCATCGCGCCGTTTTGACACACGGAATGGTGCGCGAAGAGACAACATATCAAATCACTTTGCCCCCTCACTCCCTCGCGGCGGCTGCAGCTGGCTGGCGCTAACCCCCAGCCCGCCCCTCCCGACCGAAGTCAGTCTATGAAAGGGTTTTTAACTCATCCATCCTCAGTGTGTACGCGGTATGAAAAAAAAACATACGATGCGGCAGTACAAAAAATTACGCTGAGCCCAAACATTTTCTTTAACCACAAAAAAATAAATCACTATTTTATTTTTTTAATTCAGAACCTTTACGAGATTGTTCGTGACGTAGTGTAAGTTAGGGGTAGTCTCCCCTCCTTCTCTGCTACCATCTCTATCCCCTCAGCTAAAAGCGAATCCATGCCCGGCATAACCATATGAACACTTGCCGTACGCGCAACATGCCGAGCTGCTGTCCCCTGTCCGTCACCTCGTCTCGTCACAGGCTATTACTACTTTGACACTGCCAGAGTGGCGAACAGGATCCGACAGGGCGTGCATCAGTAGCACAGCGTGCACTTCAGGACAAAGAAGCAAAGTTTTTACCAGTGCTCTTCGTCTGTAGGGGGTTGTGTTGTTTTTCCGTGGGGTGTGACCTAGTTAACCACCACCTGGGCGGGAGGCAGAGCCGCCGCACACACCAGGGGAAGAGGGAGGGATAGACGGATGCAGTGAAGACGGTCAAGTAAAAGGGACATGAAAAAAAAAAGTGCTCTAATTAGATTTTACTCTAAAATGTTCTATCTTTTGTCACGCTCCGTTTAAATTTTTATTGACATTACTTAAAAACTGGCACTTTGTTTTTAGACCTTAAAGGGTAGGTGCCCCGTTTATTTCCGAAAACCGTACATACAGATATGTATTATAGAGTTGAGAGAAGGAAGAAAAAAGGGAGAGAAGAGACTCTGACAGAGACGAACAGGCCTGACGGGGAACTCCAAGCAGGCACAAGAACTGTCAGTCATTCCCTGATGGAAAGATACCTTGATTGATTTCACACCTTCACAGCGGGCCGGAGTCCGAACGGTCTTATGGTTCCTAGGCGGCCGCCGCCGCCGGTACTGGCCAAAAAACTCGTCGTCGAGGGTAATAATTGCATCGGGCTCACTGGAGGGCGCGAGCCCTACGCAGCCTCCTCCAGCGTGGTCCAGCCGCGAGGAGCGGCGGAGCACAGCGCAGCACGGCGCGTCATGATCTCTTTGCAGCTGCGCTGCGCGAGCGACGGCCCTTGATCTTTTATTAATTCTCAGACGGCCCTTCGTACTCGGATGGCGGCGGCGGCGGCGGCCCGCGGGGACGCGCGAGGAGGGGGACACAAAAGAACGCCAAAGTAAAAGATGCACGCCGAGCACGGGTCACCGGCGGCGCGCCCAGGGGCCGAGTAGAGGGGCGCCGGGGCTAGTTAGCGCGACCCTCTGTGAATCAGATATAAATGGTGAATTATTGAGTTACACTCGTGTTCACCAGACTCGCCCCGCGCGTCTCATCCTGTGCTCCTCCTCCTCTCGTCCGGCTGCTTCCCTTCCCTCCCGGACCGCCTTGCCCAGTTTGTTTAGCCGCGTGTTTGTTTTGGTCTGGGTGACGGGGGCCGCGCGGGGAGAGAGAGAGAGGGGGGGGGGGGGAGGGGGGAGGGCAACGGCAGGAGCGGCGGCGGTAGGTTCGGCCCATCGGATCAGATGTCGCTTGCGGGGTGGGCCAAAGGGGTGTGCCCCCCCTGCGTCCATGTGTGCGTGCGTGCGAGAGAGAGGCAGAGGGGGGAGAGAGAGAGAGAGAGAGTGTACATCCCCATCTCGGTCGGCGGAATTTCAGTCAGGAACAACAGACGTCAGCAGTCGCAATCGACTTAATAATCGAACAATCGACAACGATTTTAACGTTCACAGTACTGACCCGCAGCCTTGATAGCAAGTCCGTCCGTCATTCGTTGCGAACGCC